ACCTCCAGGCAAACCTGAGCTACATAGTAAACTCAAGGCCAGCATAAGCTACACAGTGAGACCCTATCTTAAAAAAAAGGTATTTATTGTGTTCACAACATTATGTACCCACTATCTCTTTCTCTTCCAGCACATTCTCATCATCTCATAAGGGAGCCCTATAGCCATTAATCAGTCACTTCCAGGACAGGATATAGCTCACCCTGCCTAGCAAGTACAAGGTCCTGAGTCCATTTCCCATTCAAAAACAAAACAAAAGCCAACCACTTCCCAGGCCTTCCTATCTCTAGCTCCAGACAGCTGCCAATCTGCTTCAATATTCATCAATTTGCCTATTCTAGACATTTCATATGAGCAGAATGACTTACTATATAACTTTTCTTGACTGGTTTATCTCACCTAGAGTAACGTTTTTGAGTTTCATCCACATAGTAGCATGTGTCAAAGCATCATTCCTTTCAGGGGCTGAGTAATAAAACCCTGCTGTATGGATGCATCACCATTTTGTTTATCTGCTTGTCTGCTGGAGGACATTTGGGTTATTTCTACCTTTTGGCTATTGTAAACACCACTGCCAAGAACATGGGTGTGCAACATCACCCTGAACCTCTGTTTACAAGACTTCATGTTACATGAGAAGGGCCTATTTTATAGTCAGAATTTTTTTTTCTTTATTTTAAGGGTGCTGTGAATGGAATTAGGGCCTCATGCATGCTAGGAAAGTGTTCCCTCACTGAGCCACATCTCCAGCCCTGTTAGTTACTGTGGGTGTGGGTGTGTGTGTATGTGTGTGTGTGGCCAGTTCAGGCCACCCTGGGGGTGAGGCTGATACAGCACGTGGTGCAGGGGATTGAACTGAGGTCCCTGCACTTGCCTAAACTTGCCTAAGCAGGCACTTTAGTCCACTAAGCTATCTTGCCAGCCCAGACACAATTTTTTTTTAAACCAGCCTATTCATAGCCCCTGATGTCCCTCCTGCCCTGCCACAGCTGGGTCCTCTTCAAAGCACAAGGAAATGGGCTCTGTCTGAGTGCTCTTCTGTCCAGGGCAGCTCTTCCCTTATCATGCTCCATAACTTCTGGTGCTTCCTACACTGCAGAGAGTGCTCTGCTTTCTTGGTTGCTTGATGGTTGGCTCAGATTCCCCAACTACATAGGGATTCCATGCTGTCCTCCTATCTGTCCACCACCATGCCCTCAGAGCCAGTCCTTCCATAACTCCTGGCTGAAAGAATGGGCAAACTTGTGGGGCCCTTCCAGCCACTGTCCCAATTTATCAAGAATCCCAGCCTGCCACAACTTGCTCCCAGCCCCCACCTTCTGGCCTCAGGAGTCAGCCCAATTTTTTTAATTAATTAATTAATTATTTGTGTGTGTGGCCAGCTCAGCCCATGGGGGGGGGGGTGGCTGGCATGTGGTGCTGGGGGATTGAACCGCGGTCCCCGTGCTTTGCTAAGCTTGTTCTAAGTAGGTGCTTTAGACCACTGAGCCATCTCACCAGCCCCAGTCAGCCCAATTTTTGATGGTTCCCGATGGCAGAACACACCCAGCCCCTCATGCAGTTTCCACACAAAGAAGGACCAGGCATTGGGGCAGGGGAGGCAATCCCTAGCCCATCCTGGGTCACTGCTGAGGCAACACAGAAGGATTCCTTGGAATCTGTGGTCTGGCTTCTCTCAGGTGAAAAAGGACCCCCTGGTCAGGCAGGCAAAGTGAAAGGGGCTTGGGCCTAGGGAGCCATGGAGGGAAGGGTCTACATGGGAATTCAGTTCATTTCAAGTTACTCAGGCTCCTCTCTCACCTGGATTCTGGCCCCCTCCTATAACCCAGAATGTCCTTAAACCTGGCTGGGGTGACAGGTCCCAGCTCTATCCACTCTGGGGCACATGGACTAGGAGAATTAAACGTTTCCCCAAAGCACCCCATCCTAGGGTGATGGCGCTGACAGGTGCTACAGACTTTACCCCAGGGAGCCAGCTTCCCCTTTCTTGCCCTGCACAACCCCCTGAGGAGCCTCACTGTGGCCCTCCAGCTCCATCTATTCCGACATAGAAAGCCAGCCCTGGGCAGAAGGGCCCCGCAAAATCAGGGCCTCAGGCTAGCCTTCCTGACCCCATTTCCAAGGTCAACAAGCCAATGAGGCAGACAGCATGATCCAGGACTTCCACTGCAGAGGACAGGCTCCTCCCCCAGGATGAAGATTCAGTTTATGACACTGGGCACTTGTTATTTTGGGAACATTGAAGCATTTGGAGCTATCTGCAAGAGGAAGCCCTAGAGCAAGAACACTATATTCACCTCACCCCCACCATCCTGTGCGTCCCCATCCTGGGCCAGGAATGGCCACAAAGCTTGCCCAGTGTGAGTCCCCAAAAGCAGAAGCAGCCCTCGCCCCAGGCTTCTTCAAGCCCTTTCCTGGCCCCAGCTCTGTGAGAACCCCCAGATCTCCCCAGGGGGTGAAGGGACTCTGGCCCTCTTTCTTTAACTGACCAGGACAGGAAGAAGATAATTAACTCAGCACTTCTCACCCCATCTAGAACATTCCAACGTGGAAAACCCATGGAACAGCTGGGGAAGCAATTTAGAGACTTTAATTAAAGACCGATGACTCTCCCAGGGAGCCCCATTCTCCAACACAGCCCCAGGACCCATTACATCTGCTTGCAGTGTGTTCTTAAACACAGCTGGGCACCTCATGCAGGGCGGTGGCCCTCAGGGCTGAGCTTCCACTGGGAGGGGCTGGCACAACATACCAGTCCATCCATCCTCCCAACAGCCTCCAGAGTGTACCCCATGAGGCTGGGCCCAGGGATACTAATGTCCCCAAAGCTCTGCATCCAGAAGAGTTCAGGAGAAGAAAAATGGGTCACCTCAAGGAGCTCAAAATGGAACTCTAAATACAGAAGCACAGTTGCCCTGCTGAAGATTGCTGCCACCTCCATGTGTACCTTCTGCAGAAAAAGGCACTCCATATCATGTGAAAAGCCTGTGAGACTGGAAGGGGTATGATAGGTAGAAGGAGCTGGTGGGAACATGGGGATGAAGGGACCAGGCAGGATAGGACAAGTCCTGAAGGCCCTTAACAGAGGCAGGCAGACATCTGGTCTTCATCCTAGAAACAATGGTGTGGGACTGAGATCTGTCTTACTCTGAAGAAACCCTTCTGGCTGTCATTGGAAGAGCTCATTGTAGAACAAAAGAGGAGCCAGGTGACAGTGTGGGCCCTGAGGCTGTCCAGACACAAGGAGGGCACGTCCAGGGAGAAAGAGATATGCACAGATTGAGTTAAGCATTGGGCCAGGAACCAGGGCTGTCCAGTCTTCTCTCCTGCCCTTGGTGCAGGGGATGGGGACAGAGTCACCAAGCCCTGCACTCCCCACTCAGAAAGATCCTTGAAGACAACCTTTCCCCTCCTCACATGGGTACTGTAAATTAGCCCATGCCTCTCCCCTTATCCATGACAAAGGTCAGAGTCAGGGAAGAGGCTGTGCATTCTGGGCCCCACATCTGCCTACTGTGTTGAAGCTGCACTATTCAGTGAGTACAAGGAGAGGCATCCATAACCAGCTCCCAGCCCTGCCACTGGCCTGGCCTGGGATGGAAAGGCCTAAGGACACTGCCAGCCCCAAAGAGCAGATCCAAGCAAGAGTGTCTTCTGGGCAGAGAATCTAGCAGGAGCTGGGGCAGGACCCTGCCAACCAGAAACAAACAACCCTATATATGCTTCCCCCTTCCTTTGAGCCTCTTCTGTGACACTGACATTAACAGATCCCATAGCCACACCACAGATAGGATCACGTGACAAAGAGAGGCTATGATGACTGGTGGGGGGAATGGGGGCTAGGGAGTTAGCTCAGTGCATAAGCACTTGCCTGGCAAGTACAAGGTGCCAAGTTTCAGCCTTAGTACCAGAAAAAAAAAATCCTACCAGTGAAGCTTGATGGTCAGACAGGGAGCAGCCAAGGCTGACAGGCTTCCCTCACCTCCTCCAAGTCCTCCATCACTGCCTGTGTTCCTGGGTCTCAGGACACAGAGTGGCCTCCATCAGCTCTGAGGTAAAAAGGCCACATCAGGGGCAAGGTCAGAGCATGAAATTCAAGGAGACACCCATGCTGCAGAGACCATGGCCGGGCCCTAGGGCAGGCCTAAGACAGGGCAGATGTACAGGGCCTGGGCCTAACCAGCCTCAGAGGTCATTGTCAGGGCAATCAGTGGGCACCTGTTAGACAGCAGTGGCCAGGAGCAGGTGAGAACTATGACTGATAGGGCCCTCGTGTTTAGAGGAGAGGGGTGGACAGGCTCCCAACCTGCCCAAGTATGGCCCCACTTAAGAGTGGGCAGCTGGGCTGCAGATGACTTTTTCCAACCTACCCTGGGAAAGGATACAAGACAAAGACAGCAGATCTAGCTGAGCCAGTGAGGTCCAGGAGGAAGGGATGTGTCACTTGATGGGCATTTCCTAGGAGTAAGGTCAAGTGCAGGTGGATCTCTGGAGTGAGCTTGCCCTGGGTAGGCACAGGGCTAGGTACCCAGGAACAGCTTGAAGTCTGTTGGAAGCACTGTCCCCCACACACCCAGTCACCTGACACACCCAATCACCTGACAATCACTGCACTGCCCATGAGTTCCATGAGGCCTGTAGGAGAGCATCCATGAGGCACTAGGACATGGGATTAACTGAGGTCCCAGGTGCAACATACACAATTGGCCGGACCAGGCTTTAATCCTGCTCTACCACTCAACAGCAATCTCTGGCCTCTTTTTTCCTTGTCCTGGATAGGCAGACCACCCTGCTCAACCTCCCAGGGCTGAGAAGAAGTGGACAACAGAACTCAGAGTCACTAGGACTAGGCTGTGTGTTACCAGGCAGATCCTAAGTCTCTCATCTGTGCCATGGGACCAAGTACATAGCCCACCTCCAAAGACGTGTAAAGAATGGGTTTGGCATGACCCAGCCTACAGAGTGAATTGGACAGTATCACTTCCACCCGAACTTCAAGGTCAAGTAGAAGAACGTAGATCCAGACTTTATTTCTTAAATATTCTTTCTCCAGAGCATGTGTAAGGAAGGTGCTCTGGCCAATGGGGAGACATAAATTAAGGTTCCAAGCATCCAGGACAGGGATAGCCGGGCCTTGCTTAGTCCCAGCCAAAGTCCTGGCCAGTCATCTGGTAGAACTTGCGATTGAAAGGCCTGTAGAAGTCTTGCAGGCGCTGGACCACAGCCTGGGGCACGCGGGGGTGGGGCCTGCCTTTGGATTTGCCCAGGCAGCGGGGACGGTTGCTTCCCTGGGACTTCTTGAGGCAGGGGAAGCCCTTGGTGGCATTGAAGTAGAAATGTTTGTCTGTGACAACCCGTTTGAGGCCCAGGAAGTCCTGCACCCGACCAACCTCTCCAGCTGGGTCACTGACCAGCCGCTCACCGCTGACAAATAGGAAGTGGGACAGAGGGAAGTAGTGCAGCCAGTTGTCCAGGTGCTGGGCGTAGAGACCAATACGCACAGCACTCCAGGCTGTGTCCACAGGGCCCAGGCCATGGCGGAAGGCCAGGGCACGGAAGCTGGGCAGGCCCGGGGTCTTGGAAAGGGTCTGGGCATAGTCAGAGATGGCCCGGGTCACCGGGTTCCGTACCACCACGATCAGCTTCATATCTGGGGACATGTTATGAATTCGATGAGGGGCTTCCCGTGTCACAAAGTAGCTGGGTGTCTTCTCCATGGTGATCTGCCCATCCAGGGTACGTGGCATCAGGCTCCTGGGGGCAATGGGAGGAGTAGACTGAGTGGCCGCTGTTTTTCAGTAAGCACTTCTATGGAGTGACCCCTCTCATGCTAGACCTGGGACTAGACCCTCCTCCTCCAGGAAAGCCCCAGGCCCCTGATGTGGACAGCTGTCCTCCCCCTCAGGTTCTTCTTACTAAGTGCTGGGATGAACATCCTAGGAAGCAGGCAGCTTGAGAGATGAGCTAGCTCTGCACAGGCCTGCCTACCAGGCTGCTCCCATTTATGCCTCCCATAGGAGAATGGGATGACAGCCACCGGGGACAGAGGTAACAAAGGCACTTCACCAGCCACTCATGTCTCTGTACAAGCCCAATGACCCATTTCCCCAAGGACCAGCTTCTCTGAGTACCAGTAAACTCTGACTACCAGACTCCCCTCCCCTGGAGCTGCTCTGCCCCTGACTTTGACCTTGCTGCCTGTCCCCAGACCAAACATCCCAAGGCCATTCAGCTTGGACTTGTCACCCATGCAGGCCTCTTCACTATAAGTCACTCTTTTCACTCAGTGACTGACAGCATCTCCTGAATTAGGTCATCAATTATTGTTATTGAACAAATGTTGCCAACAAAGGATAGGATTCTCCCTTTTTCCTTCCCTTCCTTAATTTAATTATATCTCTTTCCCCAATTTCAATTGCAACCCTACTAATCCTCATCTACCTGGGCCCAACTCAGACTGCCAAGAGCCATCCTCATCGCCCAGCACATTTGAGAAAATTAGTGATATATCTATGATCTACCTGGGGACCTATCCCAAGGCCTTATGCTTCCAAGGCCCGGGGAGAAGGGGATGACAGGCAGGCTGAAGCCACAGAGTTTCTAAAATTACCCTGATCCCAACATAGGGAAGAAGGACCTCAACCCAACCCAAGGTCCAGAAGGAGTTCGCTGACCACAGCCCCTTGACTGCTCCAAACCTAGGGAAGCCCATCCCAATTGGCCAGCTGGACAGGCCCAGGCAAAACTCATGCTGTCTTGAGACAGCACCTGCCAACCAGGTAGTACAGGGTGAGGTCGGACAGGGTGAGGCAGCTGAGCAAACAGCTCCAAGGGATGGCTGGGAACTAGGTCAACAGAGGCAGAGACTGTGTGGCCTCTGCTAGGGAGGAGATATCTCCACCCAGCCATGCCCAGCCATGCCCAGCCATGCCCAGCCTTGCTCCCTTCATTTCAGGAAGGTACTCTCTGACCCCACTCACAGGCCCAGGACTGGCTCAGCCAGGAGGTGACAAGTCCAGGTCTCAGCCAGCCTAACTGACCCACTCCTTGCCCAGATTCTCCAAGGAAATTTGGACCAGACACAGGTACACAGTACCCAGTACTTCATGATGGTATGGTCAGATTGGGGGCTGTTGGTGGTAGGAGGGGAAGATATATGCATGTGTCCCACTAGGCAAGGAGAGCTGGGGTCCACCACCCATTGTCACAACAGGGTGGGGCAGGTGGCATGGAAAGAAATCTTCCTCTCAGATCAAGGCCCAGGGCAGAGCTGATCTTCAGAAGTTACAGAGGAAAAATCAGCTTCCTCCATCTGGTGTCCTAGTGAGCCAAAACCACTCTCCACCCCCACTCACTGTCCCATTTGATAGGCAGAAACACTGAGGCTCAAAGAAAGAACAGGGGGACTGAAGGTGGACACTGACTCTTACTTAGCCTTTTTTCCAGTTCTCCTGATAAGGGGTATCTGGGTGGCTTCTGCTCCCAGAACCCCTCTCCTCCATGCCTTATCTCATGCACTGAGGATCCAGTGGGGACAACACCTAGCTCTCTTCAGGGAAAGTTTAAAGAGACCTTAGACCATCGATGTCTATGAGCCAGGGATGCAAGTAGGCAGGTCCAGCCAGCTCAGGGGGCCTCCCTTTCCCTGAAGGAAATAATAAAAGAAGAGTCTCTCCACGCTCGACCTTACCACTAAGGCCTACAAGAGAAGCTGATGCTGATGTTGGAAGGGGTCTATTCCAGGCCTCACCAGAATGCATCACTCCTTTTTTCATCTTCCCCAGGAAAGAGGGAGCCCCAGGCCTCCCAAACACCTCCCCTCCAATGTTTGCCTTGTCCTAACTCCCATTCTCTTTCCATGTCCGATGGAAAGACTGATTCTGAATATGCCCAACATCATCCTTTTCTGGGATCCCTGATGCTATCCCCCAGCCCAGCCTTTCTCTCTAGGAAGTCAGAAAACCAGAGTAGCTCCAAAGGGGGAGGTCTCTCCTAGCATGCCTGCTGAAGATGGCATACAGAGAGGGCACAGGACTTTCTGGGCTCACATTTGCCACAGCCTGCTCTGAGATCTTTGGGATCAGTTATTTATCTTCCTCAGGCTTCAGGAGCCTGTCCTAACTGAGCTTGGAGAGTGAAGACAGGCACTTGGGGGGTGGGTGGCAGAGACTAGGGAGAGGATAAGCAGAACGGAACTCAGACCCCACACAGCAAACAACTGACAAGTTGTTCCAAGCCCCCACCCCAACCCCAGGCACCTCATCTGGTCTGCATTTCCCTGCGGCTTCCATTCGGCCCTGGGTCACTCTACCTCCCCCTTCTCAGGACCTCTACCTCCCCCTTCTCAGGACCTCTACCTCCATATCCTATACCTTACCTGGGCCTGGTCCAGCAAGGCCTGAAACCTGGGGAAAACCAATTATTGCTTTTATTCCAGCACTACAAAGTACTTGGGGGAGGCAGTGCCCAGCCGTAAGAGGAGGAAAGATATGGTCCACATAAGCCCAAGTCCTCCCCTACATGCACAAACCTGCTCCCTATACTCACTGCTCTCATACAAGGAACTAAGGGGTTTCCATACCCACACCTCCTCCTCTCTTTCTTTCTTTCTTTTCTTTTCTTTTCTTTTCTTTTCTTTTCTTTCTTTCTTTCTTTCTTTTTTTCTTTCTTTCTTTCTTTCTTTCTTTATTGCAGTCAGGTTTTCACTGGGTGATTCAGGCTGGCCTTGGAACTTATAGCTTTCCTTTACAGGCATGTGCCACCACATCTGGCTTCTTGCTTTTCTAGAGTACTGTGGTCAAAGTTGAATCTCCACCTGACCCAAGACAGAGCACCCCTTCTATATCAAGACATTTGGTTTTTTGTGTGACCTTAGCACCTAGCAAATAGTGGGTGCTCAATGATGAGTGAATGGGTGAGCGGATACTGCGTTGGAAGGTACTCGGGCCACAGTTTCCAAGAAGGAATACCTTCAAGAACCTGAGAGATAACTGACAGGTTTAGGAGGGGGAAAGATTGGGAATACAGAACCTACCTACAGAGGACAGAAGACAGCAAGGGGCAGGGTCACTTCCTGGAATGAGGTATGTCATAACCTACTGGCTTGTGGAACAGTGTCCCAGAAATTCATCTGGAGATCTGGCTACTCCTCCGTCTGCCTCCCCAACTCACACCTGGAACAGGACCCTGAAGGTGCTAGGGCTCCTCCCAGGTCCTGCAGCTAGAATCAATGATGCTGCGGTGAGCATTTTCAGGGACTCAGAACATACGTGGTGGTTGAAAAGAAAGCAAGAACCAGGAGTTTAGGCACTTGTGAGCCCCACATTTACATACATCAGCACATGACCACAGTCCTCTGAGGACACCAGGACACAGAGACCAGAAGCTCAACCGTCACACTCAGCTTGTTGTGTCCTAGATGGCATTGCTGGATCACAATGAGCCCTCCATAAGCATCCTCTGTGCCCTTCCACTGGAGACAGATGCTACAGATGAGAAAATCAAGTCTCCTCTCAGCAGGGTTGCACTGGCAGGAACACCCTCCTTTCCTGTCCTGGGCATCAGTGTCTCCAAGGTCCCCTCCCCAGGGCTGAAGATCTGCCTGTTTTGGCCTTTTTTTTTTTTTTTTTTTTTTTTTTTCAGAACCGGGGATTGAACTCAGGCCCTTGCACTTGCCAGGCAAGCACTTATAATCTAGTGAGCTATCTCCCCGGCCCTAAATGGCAGAAGGACTTTTTTTTTGGGGGGGGGCGCTCAGGATGCCTTCAGGGCAGGTCTGGTTTAGCTTGAGGATGAGGGGATCAAACCACAGCATCCTGAACCTGACTGCTTTGTTTCAGCAGGCACTTAAACACATGAACTAATGGGCAGGGCCCCTGTGTGGGCCTCTTGGACCTCTCACTCACCCTGGAGCCTTCCTCAGACAAGTAAAGAAAGACCCAGAGTGGACCTGGAGAGCCTCAGAATTCTGGTACCTTGAGAAATTCAGCACTAATCTCATCCTCTTTTCCCTCAGCTGCTCCTACTCAGCACAGATCATGCCCACAAACTCTGAAGTTAGCACTCCATAAAACATTCCTCCTGACTCTCCTCTCCTTCACCCTCCTCCCCCCCACCCCCACTGTTGTTGTTTTGTTTTGATACTGGGGATCAAACTAGTATCTTGTGTTTGCCAAGCAGGCGCACATGCCACTGAGCTGTTTTCCTGACCCCTCCTCTCCCTCTTTTGATGCCTCCCCCTCTCCACCCAGAGTGGCCAGTAGTCTCTTCCAGGAGCCTGAACTAGGAGAATGCCCTATATGGACTCAACTTTCCCTACCATGCCCAGTTTCTCTAGCATCCATGGAGCACTAATTCTTCAGGGTTTAAGAACCTGATCCCCTATTCTCCCTTCACAGCCTCCAGTCTTCTTAATGCAAAAGGCAAAGTTAACAACTAGGGGAGGGGTGGATCAGAGAACCTGGTGCATTGGGAGGAAGAGGGCCAAGGGCCTGGGTCTTAGCCAGGTGAGGTGGTGCACCCCTGCAATCCCTGCTTAGTGGCAGGGGCAGAGCCTGGCTCAGCTTCAGTGCCCTGCTCAGCAGAGAGGGGCTGGCATTTGACTGCCATTGGTGCAGACTCTTTGGGTGGGGCAGGATGCTCCTCACATTCCACTGCCACACCCCTAGTCTCTTCTGGGTGGGGTGCAGGGCAGCCACAGAGACTGTGCAGGTGGCTAGGTCCCATTCCCACGCCTGGGCACACAGAGCTCCTTGCTACAGCCCAGACCAACTCTCAGACTCCAGCAATCAAAAAGGCGTCCCAAGAGAGAGGCGGAGGTTATGGAGTGAGAGAACATTTTCTGCGAGACTGCAAGGAACCTGGACACTCCTTCCTAATGTAACTAGCCACAAGCCAGGTGATCAACCATACAAGCCCAAAGTGAAGATGGGGGCAGGGCTCCATCTGAGCCTGAAGCAATTCTAACACTACCAAAAAAATGGGGGGGGGGGGAACCAGGACTCCAAGTCACAACGTTGGGCTTGCCAGGCAGGCGCTGTGCCACTAAGCTATATCAACAGCCCAACGCTATCAAATTATATCATCTGCATGAAACTATTTCCAGGCCGGGGTCATACCTTCCTCTCAATCTTGCCAACTCCCTCGATAGACCAAAACAGGCTTTCTAGGACTGTCCAAAGTTTCTAGGGCCCCGTCCAGAACCACCTCTGTTTTGAGGGCCCAGTGTCTAGGATCAAGCCTAACCCCCTAAGTAACAGTCTGGTCTCAGTCCCAGAACCCAGGACTTGCTCCCCGTTAGATCCTACCACCCGAGCACGGAAACCGAAAAGGGACAGACAGAGCGCTCACCTGTACCAGGCGAGGCCGCGCTCATAACACCTGTCGAAGAAGTGGGGCTCGGAGCCAAGTGCGCGGACGTCGGGGTGCAGCCGCAGGAACTCCAGCAGCGCTCGCGTGCCGCCCTTCTTCACTCCCACGATGAGTGCCTGCGGGAAGCGCCGGCGGCCCGGGCCGCTGGCCAAGGTCAGGCGGTGCGCAACGGGTGCCTGGGCTGGGGCGGGGGCCGGCGTGGGGACGCGGGCGACCTGCGGGCAGCGTCCCGGAAGGGCGCAGAGGCAGTAGGCGCCGAGCCCCAGAGCCAGGAGCGCCAGGGGAGCGCGGAGCACCCCCAGTGCGGCCCCGGGTCCGGCCCCGGCGCCCAGGCCGCCGCTATCTGCCATGGAGTCGCGCCGCGCTTAAGCCTAGGGACGAGGGTGGCACAAGGGCGCACATCCCGACCAGCGACCCACTCAGCCCGCGGACGCGGGGTTTCTGTTCCTCGCCTTCCGCGGGGCGGCTAGGCAGCAGGCGGGGGCGGGGCGGGTCCGAAGCGGGGGAGGGGCATCCCGAGTCTGGGATTCGCAGGCACCAGCGGACAGCGGACGCCCCTGCTGCGAGACCCCGGGCTGCGGTTTACCCCGGCCGCGCATCTTCGCTCCCGCGCTGGAGACGCGGAGGCAGGTAAAGACTCGAGGTGGTGAGGCTGAACGTCTACCCACAACCTGCCCCTAAAAGGCTTACACACACACACACACACACACACACACACACACACACACACGGGACTGGGCGCCTGCTGAACCTGGGTTCCCTCATGGGGAGTCTCAGAACTGAGCCAAGTGGGCCATAAAAGCTCGCAGGCCCAGGAGAATGAATCTTGGCCGGCAGCCTAGTAAGCAGAGTGCCCCCCAACTTGCCTGCTGCTGTTCTCACCTAGGACTCCCAGAGGAGTCAGCCTAGCCATCCTGCAGGGTGAGGGTCCTGCCTCTATGGGCTGGGAGATGGCTCAGTGGAATAAGCACTTCTCTGGCAAGTGCAAGGGTCTGAGTTCAATCCCTGGTTCCCGAAAAAAAAAAAAAAACAACCCTCATAGGAAAGAGCTAGTGGATGTCTGGCTAATGCTTTAGAGTTCAGGAGACTCATCTCCTGACCTGCTCCACAGTATGTGTGCCCAGGCTAGGTTACCTGTGCTCCCTCCGGATGCAGTAGGCTCTGTGGGAAGATGGCAAAGAGGCTCCCCCTGGAGTTGTGAAGGATTCAGAAAGGTGTCCCCAGGTCCTGTCAGGGCAGACTGAGAGGTCTTTCACAGCTATGGCACCCAGTGGGCAACAGGCACCACAGGGGCTTCCCACCCCCAGATTTGATACCCCACTCTGCACTCCCAGGGAGAGATGGGTTTGGTAGTAGCAGCCTCTTTCTGTTCTGGGTTCTGCTTGTTAATGAGTCATTCTTGGATCTAATGGCCTCTGGACAAATCCCAGCAGCCCTGGTGACTACTGAGGAACAGAGGGTCCTAGATATATTCAGAGCTCCCACTAGAGGCATCTCTGGCCCAAGGAGAACACACAGGACCAATAAAGTAAAGACCACTGAATAGTTCCCCAGATCCCAGATACCACAGATGTATCTGCTTGCCAGGGCAAGCCTCAGCCAGCACCCATGTGGGCGGGTTGTTGGCACAACACTGTCTGGTGAGCATGCTGGCACATGCAGGGTCCCAGGAAGTTCTTCTTTGGGTCTAGCTTAACATAGGATTTGTACCAGATGGGCTAGTTCTCCTCAAAGCCCTGCTAGGGAAGGCCCATCTCATCCTGTAGCCTGAGCAGCCGTGGCTCAGAACTCTGAATTCCTGACTAGGCTTTCCACTGCCTGGCCTTGGTTCTGCCCTTCACTCTGCTGTATGCCTTTGCTTCAGTCCCTTAGCTGCTGCAAGCCAAAGACTGTCCAGGAGGCAATGATCAGAAGATAGAGGGATTAAGGTTCAGATGGGAGTCAGCCTGGGAAGTTAGGGAGGTGATCTCCCTCCCACCTCTGTCTGGCTCTCTGGTCAAGGAGGGTGCAAGTCTGGGAATGCCCAGGATGACCATCTGGAGTCTGTTTCACCAAGATATCCCCAGCACCTAGCCCAGAGCCTGGAACCCAGTAGGCATTCAATAAATGCAGGTCAGGGGAAGGATATGAGAGAGGGAGAGGTCAGTGGAGATTTTCTGGAGGTGCTAACCAGACAGGGAAGAAGAGAAGACCATTCCAGGGAGAGGAAATATCAGGGTAAAGTCTTTGCTGCAAGGAAGGTTCACTTTAAGCTCACCCATAGAAAGTAGAGTCCAGCCTGAGGCTGGCCCAAGCCCATCTTCCTCTAGCCATGTGGCTTCAATCTCTGGCCAATTATTATTATTATTATTATTATTATTATTATTGTTTGTTTG